CTCACGCATTAGATTCCATCTCCATCTGCAGACCCACGGAGACCAATCAGCCCAGGGTGATGCCATGTGCTGAGCACCCCATCAGTGGTACCCCAGCTTCCCCCCCGCAGCAGCCCTGCTGCCCCCCTCGCCTGGCCCCTCCTGGCTCCAATCCCTCCCCACTTTCACAAAGGGCAATTAGGAGCAGCCTGGTGGTGGTTTCTGAAAGCCCAGACTTCAAAGGCAGCGCTGGCTGGGTGCTGCTGGGCTGGGCTGGGAGAGGTTGGGCTGTAATTAGAGCCCTGCTCAGGGGGCAGTCATGGGGGTGCTCATCCTGCTCATGTGTAGTCCTGCTGCGTGAGGCCCTGCTGCCAGCAAAGGCTGCTCTCCTCGCTGCAACAACTGTGTGGGATCAGTGAAGGGGATGAGGAGCTGGGGTCCCCAGGACGCTTACTCTGTTCTTCCCTTCCCTACCACTTTGAGCAATGGGCATTGTGCCTTGGCAGGTAATGAGAGCTTGGGAAGCTGGATGTCACCATACGTTGAGCATCTTGGGGATTCCCAATGGCACTGAGGAGTGGGACAGGAGCTGTGGTGTGTGGGGTAACCCTGCCAAGGATCATAGAATCACAGAATCACAGAATTGTTTGGGTTGGAAAGGACCTTAAAGCTCATCCAGTTCCAACCCCCTGCCATGGCCAGGGACACCTTCCACTAGACCAGGTTGCTCCAAGCCCTGTCCAACCTGGCCTTGAACACTGCCAGGGATGGGGCAGCCACAGCTTCTCTGGGCAACCTCTGCCAGGGCCTCACCAGCCTCACAGGGAAAGGTTCTGTGAAGGATGCTGGCTCCACCTCTGCTATGGGGACCAGGCTCCCAGGGTTGGGTGGCAGGCACAGAGGGACAAGAGCCACGTCCCCACTGGTGCCTGCACAGCTCCGAGCGCAGTGGGGCTGTGGTCACAGTGACAGGGCAGCAGCACTGCGCTGGAGGAACTGGCCCGAAGAAAGTCCTGGAGAACAATAGCAATTGTTCTCTTTGTTCCCTTCCCTCCCCGGATGTTGGAGCCGCGCTCAGCTGCCGGCGGGTGAGCAGAGCAAGCGTGGCTGCCTGCGCTGCCGCCTCGGTACCAGGGGAGCCCACTGCATGCACTGCCTGCTCTGCTGCCCTCCCCGTGTCTCCAGCTCCTCCAGAGCCTGAGTCATCACCCATATAATAACCATAGAATCGTTCAGGTTGGAAAAGGCCTTTAAGGTCACTGAATCCAACTGATAATAGTTATCCTAGTATTATATCCTAAAAGTGTCCCCCAGTGCAGACAGTGTATTTGCTGCCTGGCTGGAAGGAGGAAGTTGCGATACCCACACCTTTTCCTAATGCGCCACATGGTCTGAGGTGGTCTTCAGCGGGGAGAGAAGATGTTGGCCAGGCCCTAACTGGGGAGCTATGGGATCATTTCTGGTACAATCAGCACTGTGCATCCCCTTTTATATCCCTGCTGGTCCTTGATGGGCCCAGGAATGTAAGGGCATGTTCTCAAGCTTCCCTGCTGTGGCTTTTTCTGCCATTTACCACCATCTGCCTGCTGCAAGCTGACAGAGGGGAGATCTAGGTTAGATAGTAGGAAGAAGTTCTCCCCTGTGAGGGTGCTGAGGCCCTGGCACAGGTTGCCCAGAGAAGCTGTGGCTGCCCCATCCCTGGCAGTGTTCAAGGCCAGGTTGGACAGGGCTTGGAGCAACCTGGTCTAGTGGAAGATGTCCCTGCCCATGGCAGGGGGGTGGAAATGGATGAGCTTTAAGGTCCCTTCCAGCCCAAACCAGTCTGGGATTCTATGAAAACAGCTGGAGCGCCGTTTCCGTAGTCTACATGTTCACAGTTGCTTGGGTTTAATGCCCTCCATCCATATGGAGCCACCTTGCTAGGCAGTGGTGACTGCAGAGAGTCTGGGTGTCCCGCAGCTGCAGGGAGGTGGCTCAGCCTCTCACAAGGCTGAACTCGGGGGAAGTGGCAAAAAGGACAGATCATTGTCCCAGGCAGCGGTAGAGGGCTGTTTGCCACGTGCAGGGGAGATCAGGGGCAGATGTGGCTGCTGGGTCCTGCCTAGCCCCATCCTGAGCAGCTCTGGTGCAGGAGCACGGTCTTAAAGCCTGTCTTTTGGCTTGTGCTGGCACAAGTTAAGTGACTGCTTGTTGGAGCCCTTTTCAAGGCCTGCCAGCTCAGCTGCCATGTGTGCTCCAAATGGGGGCAGGATGCTCCGTTCACTCCTGGCGGACCTGCCTGGGAAGCTACCAGGTTGCCAGCCCTGCCTGCTGCCCATGGCCAGAGCTGCGGGAGCTGCATCAGGATGGCTGCTCCAGGCTCCTGCGTTCCCTGGGGCTGTGGGGCAGGCAGTGCCAGGGATGCTGTGGGTGTGTGGACACGGCGGGCTCTGGGATGTGAGCAATGCTGGTGGTTTGCCGCCACCCGGCAGGGATTGCTTCCGAAGGCAGCTGCGCGCCTGGGAAACTGGCAGCAGGACTTGCAGCGTTGGGGTGGCTTTGTGCTGTCTTTTTTGGTGGCTTTCCTAAAAAGGGTGTCTTTTGCAATCGTCCCAGTCCTTCGACAAAACTTTTCCTGGCAGAGCCTCTCCAGGATTTCTGGGAATTGAGTTTCTGAGAGGCGATGGGGTTAAAGGCATTTACACTTCTTGTACAACGCTGACAGGTTTCCTGGTGCAGAGAGTTCTTGCAGCAACTCCAGTTTGTGCTGGCAGGTTGGACTCAGGGAGCTGAAATTGCTCCAGGAAACAGGGGAAGGTTTTCAGCCTAGGAGAAAGAGCAGAGGTGATGAGGCAGGGGCCTCGAATAACCCTCGGATAACCCCATCCCCATCCCACCATCCCGGAGAAGGTGTTGTCCCTGGTGTCCAGCCTGAACTGGAATCTGGGGAACTGCAGCATGGGCTGTTGCTCTGGGAACAGTTTTCTCCCTCCCCTTCTTAACTGTCCCCAAAGGGCTGATCCTGACCTTGCTGCTCACACAGGCAGGGCTGGCTCTGCGTGCTCGTGCGGATTTGTGTGTGGCCACACCAGCACAGGCAGGAGGATGGACACAGCACTGCCCGCTGCCAGCCAGAGGCAGGCTAGGAACACCCAGCTGCAGATGGGCAGTGCTGCATTTATCTGTGAGTTGTGTATATGGCCCCTCAATCTTTGCCACTGCCGGTGCCTGTATGCACACTGCATTTCAAGGCAGAAAGCTCTTGCAGATGTCAGGAATTAAGTCTGAAATGAATAGGACATAACAAGCCCTTAAACATGACTTTGTGTCTGCAAATAATAAGGAGTGAGTTACAGTCTTGGAAGAGCAGGAACATCACCCTGTGTGCAGGGTCCTGCCTGTCCCTGGCGTTGATTAGGTGTCCTCCTCATGCTGTCCTCTGCATGGAAGCTCTGTTTGACATGGATTGTCTGCAGATGGGTTTCTCAACCTTTTCTAACCTGGGGATGGCCAAACCTTTTTGGTGGAAATCCAAGGATCATTTTGTTCAGAGCTGCCACATGGTTTTATTTACGACCCATGCAAATTAGGCAAGCATCTCCCTGTTTGTCTCTTTTATTTCACCCTCTTGTGCTTTCTTGTGCACATAGGAATGTGCGCGTGTGCTTAGGAAGTTTTGTTGACTGCTTCCTACTGCTGTTGTGCCACAGAGCGGGTCCTGGAAACCCCTGGACCCCAGCAGGCAGGGGGCCTTTATCCTTATCTCACACCACAGTTTGGTTCCTGGGGCAGGTCCTCCTGGGGAGGGAGAAAAGTGCTGGGCACAGCCCAAGGTGCTCCAATATCTCCTGCTATACCAGGGTCCCAGCCCAGGGATGAAGAGTATCCTTGGGGACCATCAATGTCCCTGTCCTCACCAGGAGACCATTAACAGCGCATGGCTGAGAAGCAGCCTGAGTCCACAGTGCTGGGCTGAGTACTATCTGGCATGTCCTCCATGCCCATCAATGGGGACTTCGATTCCTCCACCTCCTGCCTGGAAGTTCCTTGATCCTCCTGCTTCTAGAGGGGACACCCACACTTATGTCCTTGGGTCTGAGATGTCTCCACCAGCCGGCTTTTTTGGCCAAGTGCTTAAAGGCAGCTACATGCCCTTTGGAAAACAGTCTCCCCAGCTTTCCCAGCAGGAATTTTCCTCTCTCCCCAGGAGGAGTCTCGTGGGCTGCCCAGACCCTCACAGAGCCATGGCTGGCCTCAGCAGAGGCTGAACCAAAATCCATGTGTCAGAACCATGTGGCAGAGGTGGGATGGGGTCCTGGCAGGAAGGCTGCTCCCAGCCCCATCGGGTGTCCCCAAGGCCATGGGCAGCAGCACGAGGGGCCGAGCCTATCAGGGGGATGGGATGGTTTGCACCTCCCGCATCTCTTGCAGCGGCCATGTGCAGTTGCCATTTGGGCCCCCTGGGCCTGGGAAGTGTCTGTGCCACTGGACACCATCCCTAGCACAGGAATGAAGATGGTTTGGGAGCCAGGGGTGCCTCACGTCTGCAGCTCTGCAGAGAGGTTAAGTTCTGCTTAAGCTCTGCCTAAGCATGATCCTGGGAGAGACATAATTTGGTGGATACCCAAAGAGGGATTTTGTGGGAAGTGGGAGCTCCTTGCATCCCTGCTTTGGTGCAGATCATCCCCAACCATGCACACAGCCACCCTCCATGCTTCAGGGGCTGTTTGGGTCCAAGACCGAGGCCCTGACAGTGTTGGGGTGTCTCCAGGGTCCAGCAGCAGTTCCTCTCAGGATCTGGGACCGAGGTGCAGGGTGTTGCGCTCTGCCATGTGCCCACAGCCCATGGGCTGCATCCTCTTGGTCCTGGCACAACAGGTTCTGGGCCAGTGAGGGGTGCGGACAGCGAGGCATGTCCGTGGGTCCAGCTCCGGCTGTTCCTTGCTGACAAAACCTCCGGTTTGCAACACATTCTTTTGGCGTTTCATCCTGGCCATCCGCTTTCTATTCTAGCGAGCGCCTTGCGGGAAGATTTTGGGAACGGGGGGGTGGGAGCCCAATTCAATTGTTCAGGGAATGGAAGTAACTCATTTTGCGGCTGGAGGAACCCAGTGGAGCTCGCTGTGTGCAGGGAGTTTTTCCACTGCTCTCTCCCGTTTGAACAGCATAACCTCGAGCGTTTCCAAACCGATGCTCTGTGTGCTGCTGCCACCGTCCTTCTGGCAGGGCCAGGTCTGGTGGGCAGCCTTTGGGTTGAAGTCTTGCATGGGAGCACTGGCATCACCTGCGTGGGGCCTTCTGGGGGGAAAATTATGCACCCTGTGGGATCTGGTTTCATTTTGGGCAGGGTGAAATGGGCCGAGGGAGGATCTTCCCCCATTTACAGGCTGGGATTGTACTTCTGAAAGCCCTTTTAGAGGCAGAAAGGTTCCCAACTTGGTCTCTCCAGGCAGGGGTGAATGTCCCACCTACACTCCCACATGACCTCAGAAAAATGAATCGCCAGAAATGAACGGAAGCGAAGGAAAAAAGGGAAAAATAAATAATAATAATAATAATTAAAAAATCCCTCCCCAAAGCCGCCTTCCAGAGGGTTGGGCAAAAGATAAAAGCTCTCCAAGGAGCCGGGACTCCTCCTCTCCCACCACCGACTCCTCATTTAAATGTCTGTGCGCACGCTGCAGCCAGCACTGCCTCGGCGGCCCCCTGCCCGCCACCCCTGCTGTGCCCCGGGGGGCAGTGCCCATGCCAGGGCGCAGCACAGACCGGGCTTAGCACCCAGAAGCAGCCCTGCCTGGTCCCGCGGGCAGACTATGCGAGAACCCCCGGGGGGAGCCGAGCCGCACGGTGCCTGCCCAGCTGCGGAGGAGTGGGTGACGAGGGGGTCCCGGTGCATGGACCCCCCGAGGCCAGCTCCCCAATGTCGGCTCCGCTGCTGCTCTGGGTCATCCTCCTTCAGTGGGCCGCCGGCGGGGGCTTCATCAGGGGCAGCAGGATGTGGCAGCACTGCACAGGTAAGACAGAAGGCCGGTGGGAGGGCTTGTGCCGCGACCGAGGTGTCAAGACAGGCGCTGCCTGCGCTGGGAAGTGTGCCAGGTCCCTTCCATGGATAGGACACTCCCCATGGTGCCAGGGCAGACCCCAGGTATTGTGCTCTGTTTGCGGGGTGCCCCGCATGGGTGCATGGCTTTGGTGCCAGCGGACCAAGTCTCGGTGTGACAGCATGTGGTGATGCTGCTGCACCTGCCTGCACCCATGGCAGTGGGTAGTGGGGTCACCCCTGTGCCTGCAGCACCCTGCAATGGCAACCAGGGGGCAAACAGCCCTTCCCGGTGCTGTGGAGAGAGCCGTGTGCCCGTCTTTGGCATAAGCGTTGTCCCAAGGTCTGCTGGCCCTGGGGACCAACGTGTAGGGTAGGGAAGGGCTGGAAGAAGTAGAGAAGAGCCATCGAGTCCCCCCATAGAGTCCCTCCCTCCCTGTGCTCTGCCAGACACAACCTACGCTCTCCTGGCAGCAAAACCTCCTGGAGCGTTTCCGCCCTGCCACCCCCAGCCGAGGAGCTGGCAGCTCCAAAGGCATTTCCCGCAGGAAGTGCCGAGAGTCACCCAGCCCAAAGCAGGTCCCCGTCCCCTGGCTCTGCCTTCCCGTCCTGGTGCCGTGCAGTCCTGGTGCAGGCAGTGGAACTTCAGCCCGGTTTTGGTTGCTTGGTTCCCAGGCTCTGTGTCTGTCCTCAGGGTTTGTCTCGGTTTGGTGGCACCTCTGTTTTACACCATTACAGCCTGTCTGGTGGTGAGAAGGAAAGCTGGAAGAGATCAGAGAGCTTCTGCCCCCCACCTGCTCCCCCAGGTGCTCTGGTCTATTGGGGATGTCCCCACTGTCCCACTCAACTGGAGTGGTCCTGCGGGTGTCAAGGCCCCATAAATCACATTTAACCACCTCCATGGCCCTCCTGTGGTGCCTGGCCCCGGTTCCCAGTGTAGCTCTGATACTGTCAGGCTGTGGGCAGCCATCCTGCAGAGCAGGCAGCTGCCGGGCTTGTGCGCTGCCCCACCTGGGCTGAAACGCCCTGGCTGCACTCCCAGCCATTAGCTGCCAGCTCCACTCCGGTTGTTAGCAGGGACTGGTGTGGGGGCATCTTTGATTGTAGGGATTTGGCTTTGGATTTAGGACATGGCCCCTTCCTGGCCCACAGCTTCCATCCCCAGCTGAGCTGGCTCCAGCTCATCCCACTGACCCCAGGGCAACTGGAGCTCCTAAACCCTTCAATTCCAAGCCTAAATTCAGCATGAGCTTTTTGCAGAGAGAAAAAAGAACTGGTTCATTACAGCAGGTCGAGGGAGGGCATTCTCCTGCTTCAATCCACTCTCGTGAGAGCCCCCCTGCAGTCCTGCATCCGGCTCTGGGGCCACAGCACAAGAGGGATGTGGAGCTGCTCAGGTGAGTCCAGAGGATGCCACAAAGATGCTCCAAGGGCTGGAGCAGCTCTGCTATGGAGCCAGGCTGAGAGAGCTGGGCTTGTTCAGCCTGAAGAAGAGAAGGCTCCACAGAGACCTTAGAGCAGCTTCCAGTGCCTAAAGTGCAAGAAATTTGAAGATGGACCTTTTACAAGGGCCTGTAGTGACAGGACAAGGGGGAATGGCTTTGGGCTGACAGAGGAGAGATTTGGGTTAGATATTAGGAAGAAATTATTCACTGTGAGAGTGGTGAGGCACTGGCACAGGTTGCCCAGAGAAGCTGTGGCTGCCCTATCCCTGGCAGTGTTCAAGGCCAGGTTGGACAGGGCTTGAAGCAACCTGGTCTAGTGGAAGGTGTCCCTGCCCATGGCAGGGGGTTGGAACTGGATGAGCTTTAAGGTCCCTTCCAACCCAAACCAGTCTGGGATTCTGTGATTCTCTGAAACAAGTTGTTTCAGTTAAACCTCCCCCACTGAGGCTTTGCTTTAGGGGTAGTTTAAAACAGCAGGGACGTGGGCAGGGGGGGATGCAGAAGTGGCAGCATGGGAAGGACCTTGCTGATCTCCCTGCTCTGGGCTAGATGGAGCAGCCACAGGAGCAGATTCCTTCTTGCTTTGCCCATCTGGTTCTGGGCTGGCTGGGGCTGCCTGGGGGGGAACGCTTCCCCTCTCTCTCCAGCTGCTTTAGATTCAGACACATGCTGGTCCAGCCTTTCTCACAGCTCCCTCCCTCCTTGCTCTCCTGCTGCGCCCCAGCAGCCGAGATTTATTAGTACAAATAGGAGCTAAAAGCCCGGTCTCACTGGGAATGGGACAGAGTGAGGGAATTTTTAGTCTAGCTGAGTGCTGCTTCATCCTCTGGGCAGCATCACTGCACCACTCTGCCCTGTGCTACAGATGCCACAGTCCTGTCTGGGGAGCATTCAAAATAAAAGCTGTGAGGAGGCTGTCAAAGCAAGGAACTGGGGAGAAGCTCCCAGAGTAGGTCCAGCCCTTCCCACGGCTGCTGGTGTGGGCATTGCCGAGACATTGGGCTGACGGTGACCTGGGGATGGCTTTGCAGTGCCGGTGCTTCACCTGGGTGATGCTCTGGGGCTGAGCACGTTGGTTTCTCCTCTGGGGAGAGGTTAATCATGTAATGAGTGGTTTTGGTGCCTGCCAGGGGACTACGTGTGTGGGTGCAATTAGGGCTGGGTTGGGAGAGCCTGGACCGGGGCTGGAGCAGGGAGCACCCTGCCTCACCACCCTGGGGACTGGCTTCCTCATGAGCGTGCCAGATTCCTGCCTGCTCTCTGGCTCTGGTGCAGTTGCTGGTGGCAGGGCATCCTTAGGAGCTGGTGGCAGCCTGGGGGCTGCCTGGCCAGCAGGTCCTGGGGTCAGCATCCAGAGCTGCATCAGTGGGGTGGTTTGTGCAGGTGAGCCTGCACACAGTGTTCCTGCTGTGGGGATGGAGGTGTCAGCCTTGCTGCCTGGAGGACAAACCCTCCCTGTGTACCTGAAGCAGGGGCTCGGCACAGACCCCAGGCAGGGGACAGCAGGCTATTGGGGCATGCCAGCCCCCCCTGCTGCTGTGGAGCACTGGGGATGTGCTGGCTGCCTTGAGCAGAGCACCGCACTGCAAGGTGGGTGCCCCGTCCCGCAGAGGGTCTGGGTGGGATGGCTGCCACTGTCGTGATGCGCTTTGCTGTCTCTTGGCACAGACCTGCGCCCGCTGGACATCCTCTCAGAGGTGGTGCCCGCCGGTGGGCTAGCCCATGGCATGAGGGTGTTTCAAGTGCAGGGGGTGCGCGGTTTCCAGCTGGCTGCCTCGCGGCCCCGAGCCCTGTGCTTCCCAGCCTCCCGGCTTTTCATCCACTGCGACCGCTTCCCCGAGGAGTTCTCCATCATCGTCACGCTGAGGGTCCTCAGTGTCCCTGCCAAGGTAAGTGACCACCAGCCGGGCACGGAGCAGGCACAGCCTAGCCCTGCAGCTTTGCCCATGGGGATTGAGTCCGTGCCCTCCTGCAGAGGAACGAGTACGTCTTCACGCTGATGGCGGAGGAGAGCCCCAGCGTGCTGGTGGGGCTGCGTTATGCCCCCGACAAGCTCCACTTCCTCTTCTGGAGCCAGGAGCGCGCCGGCGGCTGGCAGACCCGCGTCACCTTCCCCAATGTCTCCCTCTCCGACAGCCAGTGGCACACGCTCGTCCTGGCTGTCTCCGGCCAGTCCTTCTCCCTGACGGTGGACTGCAGCGTCCCCAAGGATGTGTAGGTTGGGGCAGCAGCAGGGGGCTCAGGAGGGCTGGCAGAGCAACGTGCCTCCACCAGCATCTCCTCCAGCCACCAACGCATGCTGTTAAACTGTCCCTGCCTCTTCTCTGCCCGTCTGCAGGTTAGTGGAGACACCGTTTCCAGCCTCCCTGTCAGTGAAAAGAGCCAACTTCTACCTGGGCAACAGGAGGAGGAGGAAAGGCGTGTTCACGGTAGGTGCTCCATGGTGCAGGGCTGCGCAGGGGTGCTGGTGGCTTGCAATGGGGTGAGTTGCAGCCCCCTGTAGCCCTCTACACTGCAGAGGTGGCCATGGGTCCTGCTGCCAGGCTAGGCCCCATCTTCCTGTGGGCATATAAGGGGCAGTGCTGGCAGTTGGTACTTTGTGGGTCAGATGTGGCTTTAGATGGGGACACTGCCAGTGGTGTGGTGACAGAAAAGCAGCTGATGGCACAGTCTTACTGATATAAAAGTTAGGGCAGTGCCTGGTATTGGTAGTGAAAAGTGGAGGCAGTGAAAGCTGCTGCAGCTAAAGAGCCAGTGCTCCCTTTGCACCAGCTGTTAAATTGCCTAGGATGAGGTCTTGGCAGGCTGGGCATGTAATGAGGATCTGATAAATGTGCATGAATCCACAGAGGCTTCCACAGCCTGGGAGGGAGAGCAACGAGTAAGAGTTGTGAGGGAAATCCAGGGCATGAATCACCTGCAGTTTCCATTTCTTGGTCTTGTTGGACTTTCTCTTCATCCTGCTGCTCCTGCTTTCCCAGGGCTTGCTGCGACAGCTTGTCCTGCTGCCAGGAGCTGATGCCACCCCTCGGATATGCACCCCCATGAGCTTTAAAGTAGTGACGCTCTCTGTCCCCAGTGTTCTCCAGAATCATCCTGCAAAGCCAGCAAGCAACAAGGTGCTAAAATACCCCTACGGTCAGTAAATCCTTTTGCCTTTGTTGAGGAAGGATCTTTGCATGGGGCTGGGCATGGAACAGGAGCAGAGGGTGAGAGGGTATTCCCAGCACCCTCTGTTTTCTGTGCGTGTGTGATGGGATCCCTGTCCAAAATACCCCTGGAAAGCCTATCCAGGTCCCTTGGCAGTGCTGGGCTTATGCTGGTAGCCACATGGGATGCTATTTACCTGGGTGCCTGTCACTAGGATGGGATAAGTACATGCAACCCTCTTTGTGTGCACAGGGTCAGGCCTCCTTGCTGCTCCATCATGTGCACTAAGAGGCACCTGCCTTTCTCCTCTCCATGCCCAGAGACCGACACAAAGGTGACGCTGGGGTCCCGTCCGCCCTGCACCATGCAGGAGAAGGCACAGTTCTGGTTCAATGCCTCCCGGAGAGGGCTGTACCTCTGCAATGGCAGCACCTGGATTTCCATGCTGGAAGGTACTGGTGTGCAGTGACCTCTCAGGGATGGAGGGAGGCTCTTGCAGCAAAGGAGGAACAGAAATTTGCCCTTAACAACACTTTGGGGTGGTAACTGAGTCAGGTAAAAGCAGAATGAGGGAGCTGGAGTGTCCCCCTGCTCTCCCCTGCTTGGCTGGACTTTGCTCTTGGTACTCACATCAACACTCTCAGTGCAGCTGGATTCAAGGGCTGCTGCTGGTGAGTATGAGTTAACAGAGCTGGTCTCAGCAGCCCAGGCCCTTTTACTCTAGGTCTCTTCCTCTCCTCCTCATTCTCTTTAGGATAAATGTATAAACCCGCTTGGTAAGAAGCAATAAATACCCATGGTGTGTTTTAATTCCCCAGTCCCAAAGGAGAATTCCCAGCATAGAACAGGCAGGGGTGGATGGTGCTGGATGTGCTGCCCAGTGAGATGGAGTCAGGCCTTGGGTGTTGAAAGCACCAGAAACATCAGGACCTTCATTTGCCTCCCATAGAGCTCCACAGAGCAGCAAGCACCACTAAGGCAGCTCTGCTATGCAATGTGGGGCACATCTCCAGGCAAGGTCGTCTGGTTTTAACCTCACCCCTCTATTTTTGTGGTCTCCCAGTCAAGCAGAGGCTGGACTATGTGGAAGAATACCAGAACCTAGTGACCAACTCTGAGACGATGGGTGTTGAGGTCTTCACCATCCCCGGAGTGGGACTGTTTGCAGCCACGGCCAACCGACACACCGCTCCGGGGTCGGCCATCTATAAGTGGACTGATGGGAAGTTTGTGCCCTATCAGAACATCCCCACCTACCAAGCGCAGTCCTGGAAGTATTTCACCATAGGAAAGAAGGTAAGTCAGCCTGGAAGGTTGATTCAGTGCCTTCATATTTCAGTGTATTAAACTGCAATTGCCCAACCCTGCCTTCTCCTCTGAAGCCCTGAGTCTCAGGAATGGTTTAGAGGGTGAATCTTTCCGTCTTCTGTCTTTGATGGGGTCATGTTGATACATGTATGCAGCCAGTGAGGGTCTGTCCTAGGGACTGCTGCCGATCTGTGGGCCGCCCTCTGTGTTTTACTGCTTTTGCTGAGACACAGCTACATCCACCCAGGCCATTTTCAGCACATGGTTCTGGCAGCTTGGGTAATAGCATGTCTGGAGTACTCAGATCTCCTCCCTCAGGATCTCCGTGGTGTATGCAAGGTCAGACTGCAGAGCCAGCTGTTGAAGCTGGATCCCCTCCCTGTGCTGGGCTTCGTTTCTAGCAGCTCCTGCCTGTTCTGCCTCTGTGAGTGTCAGTGTGAAGATGTGCAGAGCTGTGGTACAGCCTGGTCTCTGTGTGCTCATAGCACAGCCTCCACCCTGGCACAAAGGCTGACCCTCCTTGGAAGTGGGTTTTGCTGCAGTCCTGTCTGTCACCATGAAGTGAAGCAGGGCTACCCCAGGCAGTGGCTGTGTGTCGTGGTTTAAACCCAGTCAGGTAATTCGTTCGCTCACTTCCCCCCCTTTCTTGCCCTCCCCCTGCTCCCGGAGGGACGGAGAGGAGAGTCGAAAAGAATGCAACTCCCACGGGTTGAGATAAGAACAGTTTAGTAACTAAGGTATAACACAAATCACTACTGCTACCACCAATGATAATAATGATAAAGGAAATAACAAGGGAAGAGAATACATCATCTCACCACCAGCCGACCGATAACTCGCCCCCCCAGCCCGACCAAGCTCCGACCGATACCTCCTCCAACCCTGCAGACTCCCAGCCCTTCCGGGTAACTCCCAGTCACATCCTGGGCATGACGTGCTGTGGTATGGAATACCTCTTTGGTCAGTTTGGGTCAGGTGTCCTGCCTCTGCTTCCTCCTGGCCTCCCCTCCTCCCTGGCAGAGCATGAGGCTCACAAAGTCCTTGGCCAAACCAAAACATCGCTTGTTATCAGCTCTGTTCCCGAGCTGAAAGTCAAAACATTGCACTGCACCAGCTACCAAGAAGGGGAAAAATGACTGCTACTGCTGAACCCGTGACATTATCCACCCCTTATTCCATACCATTCACGTCATGCTCAGATCCCACATTTTCAATATACCATCACTCTTATCTCAGTGCATGGACCAGTCCCTATAAAGCTGCTGAGTCCATCTGGTCCATGATGTCAGGCTCCATCTCTTGTAACAGTCTTCCAGAGCAGGAGAGACTGTGTGCAGTGTTCACACTCGTGAATAACCTGGGCAATAGTGTCCATTGCTAAGTCCACCCCTCGATCATGAGTCCATCTCTATGTTGCATCTCTGCTCTGATGGCCTGAAGTGCCATGGGCCCACCAGGCTTAAAATAATTCACTGTCCCCTTAAGCAGTTTCTGCATCTTGTTGCTGGGGACTCCATACAGCTGCCTTCCATCTCCAATGCTTCCAAAGCACTGGAGGGGCCCAGTGGACTAGATACTTGCCCATACTGTCACACACACCCTGCCACTCCTGGCTGTGCAGCCTTGGGGAAAACCTCTTGGTCCCCCTGTATTGTCGTCTAACCCCAGACAAGACCCAAACCTGACTCTGCTTAACTTTTGAGATCAGACAAAATGGTTGTGGGTAAAACACAGTCTGTGTGTGTGCCAACATGCTGATCCCCATCACAATCAGCAGGCAGGTCCCAAGGACACCCAAAGGCCATTCAAAACCTTCAGAACTCTCAAACGATGCTGCTGTACTTGTCACTGGGGCTGGTGTAGCCGCTGTGCTTGTCACTGGGGCTGGTGTAGCTGCTGTGCTTGCCGGCTCTCCCACCACCAGCTTCTCTTTTCCTGAGTCCGGCTCTTCCTCCTCTGCCTTGCTGGGAAATGCTGCCTGGTCTCCTGCATCCTCCTGGGGCTCGGCGGGCGGCTTCCGGGAAACGCCATCGGCCGTCGCGGGGCTGGGCTCGGCCGCAAGCCTCGGCTCCGCCGCGGGGCTCGGCTCTTCCGCGGGGCTCGGCTCCTCCGCCGCCTTTTCCCGCTGCTCGGCAGCCGCCTCCTTCCGCTCCTCGACCGCCCCGACCTCCCCCACCGGCAGCCGTCCCCTCGCGGCCTCCGGCCCCGCTCCCGCCGCCGCTTGGTCCCCGGGGCCGCTCTCCCGGGCCGGTTCGGCTGCCGCCGGCTCCCGGGGCCGCTCCCCCTCGGCTCCCCGCAGCCTCACGAAGATGGAGAGTAGGGTGAGGGCCAGGAGGGTGAAGAGCAGCCGGACGGCCACGTACAAGTCCACGGTCACGTCCGTCCCGCCCTGCTGCTGGAGCCCGCCCGTATTACAAGCCATTGCCATAAAGCACAGTGAGACAAGAACCTTAGCCCAGGCCCCATACTTGATAAACACTAACACAGCAAATACCGGCTCTACGTAAGTTACAACATTCTGAAGCTGTGAGATCAAGCGAAAGAACTCTGAGAGCCAATAAATCAGCATTGTGACGAGTGACTATTAATCTGGTCAGATCTGTCGTTATCTCAACCCTTCGTGCCCCACGTTGGGCGCCAAAAAGAACTGTCGTGGTTTAAACCCAGTCAGGTAATTCGTTCGCTCACTTCCCCCCCTTTCTTGCCCTCCCCCTGCTCCCGGAGGGACGGAGAGGAGAGTCGAAAAGAATGCAACTCCCACGGGTTGAGATAAGAACAGTTTAGTAACTAAGGTATAACACAAATCACTACTGCTACCACCAATGATAATAATGATAAAGGAAATAACAAGGGAAGAGAATACATCATCTCACCACCAGCCGACCGATAACTCGCCCCCCCCAGCCCGACCAAGCTCCGACCGATACCTCCTCCAACCCTGCAGACTCCCAGCCCTTCCGGGTAACTCCCAGTCACATCCTGGGCATGACGTGCTGTGGTATGGAATACCTCTTTGGTCAGTTTGGGTCAGGTGTCCTGCCTCTGCTTCCTCCTGGCCTCCCCTCCTCCCTGGCAGAGCATGAGGCTCACAAAGTCCTTGGCCAAACCAAAACATCGCTTGTTATCAGCTCTGTTCCCGAGCTGAAAGTCAAAACATTGCACTGCACCAGCTACCAAGAAGGGGAAAAATGACTGCTACTGCTGAACCCGTGACACTGTGGCATTGCTGTAGGAGACACACAGCTCCTGACACTGGAGAACAGACAGCAGAGCCCTCCCTCAGCACTGATTCTAGTGGGTGCTCTGTAATGTACTGTCGTAAGGTACTCTCAGGTCTCAGAGATCTGCCTATGGTCTTAGAGAGCCATCAGAGCTCATAGCTCCCTCCCAGCACCCACCAAGTCCAACATTTTAAGCTCCCTTGCTTTTAAACTGTTCTAGGACTTTGGGGCCATCTGTCCTCCCCTGGGCTATGGGATGTCTGCACAGTATCTGCCTGCTTCCTCTCCCCGGGGAGCTACTTATCACTTTTCAAGGATCCACGGGCAAGCCAAAGAAACATCTGCTGAGAGCCAGCTCTGAGCAGAGCTCCCAGGGGAGTTGGGATCATTCCCTCTCCAGCATGACCTGTTCTGGCTTTGTCACCCGATGCCATGGAGGTGGCTGCAGGGCTCCCCACTGAGAGCTACATGCTGCAGGGTACAGAGGGATGGGCAGAAGTTCTGCCTCCAGGCTTGGTGGCACCGGCACCTCTCATGTTTGGATACAAATGGGCCATGATACCTGCCTGATGATGGAATCCTGCAAAGAATCTTGTCAAGCCCTGACAATGCGGATGAGTTACAAAGCTGGCTTTGAGCTGAGACCGTGCTGCCATCACCAGTGCTGCACCTGCTCTGCAAAGCTCCAGCTGCACCCACATGGGCAGGAGACAGGAGCATCCTCAGCTGAGTTTATTGGCTGATGGAAACCACCTTGGGGCTCCCCAGCGTCAGTCTTGACTCACAATGCCCCCTTGCAGCCACAGCTGCAGGTGCAGAGAAGATCACCAAGTTGGAGGGACCCATTTCCTCATGGTTCCTACACAGTGAAGCAGCTGTATTGGTGCTCACCAAGGCTAACATGTTCTGGGTTTGCCTTCAGGACTTCACTGGGAGAAACTTACTCAGACTTCCTAGGCAGGATGGCCTCTGTCCTGCAAAACTGGGGGCAGATTTGTGGCTGGGGCTAGCCTTGGAGCTCCAGAAGGGTTGGGGACACAGGCAGGCTCCCTTGTGTGCAGCTGCCTGTGCTGGGCACATTTCTGCATGGAGATGGTGACCAAATAGGTGCTGTACCAGCAGTGGTACAGAGCTCTGCAGTTAGCATAGGTTCCTCATACACAGTGCAGGGGGTAGCACCTCTATATGTATTAGCACCTCATTACTACACCAGGACCTGCTGGTGCTCTGCCAGGATGGGGTCAGGAGCCCCAGAGGGCAGTGTCAGGGTCTCCTGATGGCTCCTTCCATGGAGGGCAAGGGACCAGAGGCTCCTGAGTTGCAGGGTTGCACACAGGCATTTCTATTCCCTCTGAAGTTGTGTTTCTGGAGATGCCCTGAAGGGACCGCCTGGACTGGGGCTTGCAGGGACATCTGTCCAGCACTGGAGATGCACCTTCCCCGGAGGGTCATGTAAACCCATCACAGACCTGCACTCAGTGTGCAAGGTCTCTGACCTTCCGGCTGGCTGAGCGTTGGCTGGACAAAACCCCACGCTGGTGCTGGCAGGGTCCTGCACTGGGCAAGAGTCAGGAGCCTCCCTGCTGACTATTTTCAGCTTGTGGGCTGTGCTTCTTTGCAGTCCAAACTGGGGCATAACCTCTGCCACTCCATCCAAAATGTGCTGGAGTGGCAAAGCCAGCACTCTCATGAGCTTGGATGCACTCCATGCACTGTGCAAGGCCTTCTCTGCTGATGCATGCTTGTCCCCAGGGCTCACAGAGGGGGGTTCTTCGTCTGGAGAATGTTTTGTGTCGGGAATTGATCTCATCCTTATTGTTATCACCCCACAGGTCACTGGGTCCCTGTCCCCTGTTTGATGCACTGAGGGCTGCTCGGGGACACCTACCAGCTGTATTGCCCCTCAGCAGCTGCCTCGGTCCCTGACCACACATCCCATGGGCACCTGCCCTCACCCATCCCATCTTCACCCTGCTCCTCTTTGTCCACACTCCTTTGAGAGGAGAAAACCAAGATGTCCTGGCTTGTTATTTTTCAGATCTTCCTAGCAGTGGCTAATTTTGAGCAGAATGACAGGGGTCAGGAGCTGTCTGTAATATACAAATGGAGCCGCAGGAAAGAGAAATTCGTCCCGTACCAGAGGATCACCACGCACAGCGCTAGGGACTGGGAGGCATTTGTCATTGAGGGAGAGGCTTTCCTCGCAGTGGTCAACCACAGAGAAGGTACCCAGACCTTATATTCTCTATGGGCCTGGCTCAGCTGGGGCAGGCAGCCCTTTGGGACCACAGCTCGCACCAAGCAGGCACCCCGCTTAAGAGCATCCTCCTGTTGCTGTGGAAACACTGCAGCTCCCTGAGCATCGTCTGCCAGAGTGCAAGGCAAAACCTGGGAGTCAGTGCATGGAGCTCAGTGCCATGTCCCCCAGGAAACGTGAACCCTTGCAGACCCTCTCCTTTGAGGAAAGAAAAGCACTTGGGGAAGTGGATGATGTGGTCCCCTCTGGGGGGGACAGGAGTGGGGACCACATCTTTGCTGAATCTTTCTGCTACTTTTCGTTTTTTTCCCCAATGATACATGACATGGTGGGGTGGTGAGAGCAGCTGCGTGGGTTTGCAGGGGCTGAGCCTTTTAATAGGCCTTGTGGACACACAAGAAACCAAGGGAAGCCAAGTGAGAGCCTGCTGATGTCCCTCCCTCCCTGGACACCCTGCAGACAGGATCCAGCCTTTTTCCCCTCCCAGGCCATGAACTGTTCTGGGGTGGGGAATGCACCCCACAGCACAGGGGATGAATGGGTCAATACCACAACCCTGGCTCTCCAGGGTGGGTTCAGATATTGGACCACTGGGCTCCTTCTCTGCCACCAGAAGTGGCTCCTCTGGCACTGGGCTCAAAGCTGTTGGCAGGTTGCTTGGACACTGGCTGCCTGTAAGCTGGGCTAGAAACTCCCCGTGACATTTGTTGGACCCCACCACAAGTCTTAAGTGCATAAAGAAGTACATCATAGTTCTTTATGGAAGAAATGTGTAACAGGTAGACATAGCATTAGAAGCAGAAACAATTATAACCACTACAGGACCTAAATTAGACCAAGTTCTGCATTTCTACATGTTGGACAGGTCTTTGAGCAGCCTGGTCTAGTGGAAGGTGTCCCTGCCCGTGGCAGGGGGTTGGAACTGGATGAACTCTAAGGTCTCTTCCAACCCAAACCATTCTGTGATTCTATTCCATGATTTACTCCTGTGCCAGTGGCAGCAGAAAAGTCCCTTTGGCAGCCATACACTTCATGTAGGGGTTAAGACCATCATGGTCAAGCCAAACTGGGGCTTGACCCAGTGGAGGGTCAGTCCCTGAGGGGCTGCCACTTATCCATGTGGCCATTTCCCACATACCCCATTCTTCCTGCAGCCCTTCTTGCCAAAATCTCTTCTGTTGCAATGCAGGCTGCCCGTAAACCCATTAACAGGGTACAGCAGTGCTTAGTGAGTGTGGGCTGAAAAGGGCTGGTGGTACCCTCCTCCTGTCCCAGTGAAACCAGCTCTTTATTAGAAAAATGTCTCTGGCTGGAGGGGTTGTGGCAGGCTGAAGGTGCAGAAAGGTTTTTAGTTTTAAAGCCAGCTGAGTCCCACAGAAACACAAGGTCAAGATCCTTGAACAGAGCCCAGGAGCCAGATGGAGAACAGGCTTTAGTGCTTGTGGGTTCATCCCAAGTGCTCGGCACAGGGTAGGTTGCAAACTGTGGCATCCCCTCCCTCTTCCTGGAGTTTGTGCCGTCATCAGGGATCCACACATGGACGTCTCTGGCCTTCTCCAGGGTTCAGGAGCTGAGCATGGGGACTTAGCAAAGAAGTGCTGAAGAAACGTCAGTGCAGCACCATTCCAGCTGTGGGCCTCTCCCAGATGTGCGAGCTTGTGTGTGAAGGATGACAGCAGCCAATGATTTCAGTAGCTTTAGGGACTCATCTGCGACTGGCCCCACTACACATGGGACAGCCAGCAGAGCTTGGCCACCCCAGGATGCTAGCACAGTGCCTCTGTATGGGGAGGTAGCAGGGATGGAGGCTTTAGGTAGGGATGGAGGCTCTAAAGTCTCTTTGGCAGGTTCTTAGGGAGCAAGCAGCCTTGAAACCTGCTGGCAAATATTTCTGTAGCTGAACCTGTTTCTGGGTGTTTTTTCTTATGCAAACCACATATTCCTTTCTCTCATGGTACACATCCGTCTGTCTGTCTGCCCAGGGAATAACCACAACATAGACAGCGTAATATACAGGTGGAACCCCAGGACAGGGTTGTTTGAAACCAACCAGACCATCCCTACTTCTGGAGCCTATGACTGGGAATTTTTCACCATTGGGCCGTATTCCTTCCTGGCTGTGGCTAACACATTCAATGGCACATCCACTAAGATCTACTCGCACATCTACATCTGGCTCAGTGGCTCCTTCCAGCTCTTCCAGTCTATCCTGGTAAGGATTGACCTCTGATCAAACACTATTCCTCAGTCCCTCTTTGTGTTTGGACTAGCCAGGGGATAATTACAAAGACAGATGCTCTTCAGACTTCTGTAAAGGCAGTGGTACTTTCCTACTGATTCTCCCTTAAGGACTGACAGACCAAGGCTTATATTTTCCCTTTAGGGGTGGGTAGCTTCCTCCAGCAGAGCTCCCCACACCTTGCAGCATCCTTGGCTTTCAAAGGCTTGTCCACATCCAGCTTCTCATGTGTCTTCCTTCCCCAGACTTTTGGTGCTGCTGACTGGGAGGTGTTTCATATCGGGGACAGAGTCTTCTTGGCTGTTGCAAACAGCCACAGCTATGACAGCGGGATGCCAGCACCCTCCAACTTCTATGCCATCAACTCCTCCATCTATGAGCTGAACGTCACTGCCCAGATGTTTGTCAAGTTCCAGGACCTCCTCACCTACAGGTACCTGTGCAAAGAGTCAGGGTGCTCCTCAGTCACACCCTTCCCCTGAGCAACCTGGAGGCCTCCTGGAGGATTCATGCTTGGATGTTGCCAGGGGCTAAGACTGGTGGGAAGAGCAATGGGTGACAGGTCCTTGGCACAAAATCCCAGTGGGAAGTGAGAGAAGGCCCTGAGTTTGGGAACAAGGGTGGATTTCCTTTCAGCAACAGCTTGGGAAGGGCAGAGTTTTCTGTGTATCACCAGAGTGGCAGAGGTTGGTGTGGGGTGGGCTCAGCTCTGCAGCACGCAGTCCCTTCCTCAGCTGGCCGTGGAGCGGCCACCTCACCTGCCCCTCTGCTTGCTTCATCCCCAGTGCCCTGGACTGGGAGTTCTTCTCTGTGGGAGACGACTCTTTTCTGGTGGTAGCAAACTCCTTTGATGGCTTCACCTTCTCCGTTAACAGTATTATATACAGGTACTGCTGCGGGAGGAGGGCAGGGCTGGGTGGACGGGTGGTTGTTCCCAGCAGGAACAGACCTACCGGGAGCCCAGCACAGGGGCAACCTCTGCAGATGCTGGTGCGTCTGCCAAAGGTGGACAGGTAGGACTGCTACCTGATTCTGGGGAGGTTTCTGGGCAGGAATGAAAAATCCCAGTGAAGGACATCCCACCCTGAACCACAGCAGGGAGGTGGGAGATGCCAACCCCATGGCTGAGCATTCCTGCCCCCTTTCATGTGCCCAGCCTGTGCCCCGAGTGCTAACTGCCCTCCCTGTGCAGGTGGCAAGGCTATGAAGGCTTCGTAGCGGCTCACCACCTCCCCACTGTCGGCTGTAGAGACTGGGAGGCATTTCACACCACTGAGGGCTCCTACCTCCTCTACACCAGTGCCAAGGAGCCACTTTCCAAGGTGCTCAAGCTGAAAACCACCTGAGGTGGCCGAGATATGCTCAGCTCATTGCCAGGATCGGGGCGAGCTGTGCATCGAGGTGAAGATGGACCACAGAGGCCCGGAACGGCGTGGGATCAGCCCTGCGGCTGGCTGTTTGTGTGCTCCACAGGACGTGAAGGAGGAGGATGGGAGCTCCAGGGCTCCCTGTAGCCTTGTCCAGGGCTGGCAAAGTGGCTGCGACCCTGCTTTGGTGCTGTTTGTCCTGGGCAAGCTTTCCTGCCATGCTCCAGAGCTGCATCCTACACAGGGGTCCTGGTGCTCAGGTGTTTCCTGGGGCTCGCTGAGCCCCAGTGCTTGGCACACTCCAGCCAGGAGGTACACAAGTGCCACTGGTTGTGGCCGGAGCTCGCAGGAAAGAGGCTGAGCAGAATGCTGTGCTGCCCACCTGTGTGCTGAGCATTGAGCAGACCCCTGTGCTGCCCGGGTGGGTGCATGGCAAGGGGTTGAAAATGGCCTGAGAAATGAGGGGAAAATGGTGGCTTTGGGCTTGGCTCTGGCTACCCAATGCCTAGGGCTGCGATGCTGCTGAGGATCCGTCCGGTTTGACACTGCACCTCTTTGTATGAGATTGGTGACTCCTGAGCAAACCTGCTGTGCGCTGGGACAAGCCCAGCTGCCATGGGCATGGGAAAGTCCCAGAACTGCTTCAGGTGAAATCATGGCCTCTTTTTGTTTCCTCGGCTTTTCTGGGGCACTCTTCTGCTTAACCAGAGCTCTAATAAATTCTGTGCACCAGCCTTCATCCCACAGGCAAGCTGCAGGTATCTGAGCTGCTCTGCAGAGGCTTTCCTCCATTCAACAAGCCCCCCCTGAGCAAGACGGGGCCATGCCCATGGCCTATGAAGACAAGGTGGTCCTGAGCACAGTAGCGTGCTGGGGTGAGGGTGCCCCTCTGCTTCTCCCGTGAGGACCCTCTGCCTTTCCTGCCTGGCTCAGCACATTGCTCAGCCTTCCCTGGCCCTGCTGGAAGAAGTTTCCAGCCCCCCAAGAAAGGGCTGGGTAGGTGATGGCCTGAGCTGCCCTGGGGTGCAAGTGTGGGAGAGCCGCCACAGGCAGACCCTGCAGAGCTTCCTGTTTCCCCAGCTCAGCTGTGACTGCAGTTGGCTCTGATGGGAAGGTCCATTTCTTGCTTGTAAAACAAGGCAGAACTTGATCTGCTTCCTCTGCCCTGAGCCATGAGCAGTGTCTGTGTCTCTAATGCGGCCCTGAGCAAGGATGAGATAAGGCAAGATGCACCAGGTGAGATGCAAAGGCAGCATATGGCCAGCTGGCTCCTGCTCAAAGCAGAATGAGGTGAGGATGGAGGGGATGTAGCTTAATGGCAGTCACACTGGTACATTGGATTTAGGCTGGTCTGATTTGGGACAGATTGAATTAGGACAAGTGCAAACCCCTCAAGCACCACCACCCTTCCTGGATGCCCAGCTCACAGTGCAGTGCAAACCCCGAGGCTTTTCCTACACGTAGGGTTTTATTGAGAAATCAAAGGTTTGGGACATCACCCCCAGGTTGCTGCTGGCAGGCAGAGGCTGCTGAGATGCTGTAGGGTGACTGGGCCTGATGTCATGCTCTCTGCAAGGCTGGTCCCTCACTAGAGCCAGGACAGGGTGATCCCACTGCACAAAGCTACCCTCCCTCTGCATCCCAGGCTCCAGGTCTTCCTAGAAGTCCACAAGATCCCCTACCTTCATCTGTCTCTCCCAGGGTCTTGTTCTCTCCAAACCACATGGACCACAAGCACGTGGCTGGGACTGCTTTCCCTGTGAGCCCAGCCCTGGCAGGGGAGAAGGGGTCTGTGTGTAGGAGAGTCTTCCCCAGGAGTCTGGGCTCCATTGACAGGTCTGCATGGGGTGTCCCAACATCCCTCCCCATGCCATTTGCTCACACTCAGGCCACCATCACTGGGAGGGGTGAAGTCAGTGGCACTCATTTGCAGGACTGGAGCAAAAACTGGAAAATCCCATCAAGAAGCTTTGAAGATCACCAGGTTGCCACTGGCTCTCTGCAGAGAAGCTGGGAAAGGGATGTCCCAGTCCTGCGCTACAGGGCAGTGCTGGTGGTCTCAGCATGGCCCTGGGTGCTTGGCAGTGATTTCAGGTAGTCCACGTGCTTGCAGGTGTCCTCTCGGTTGTGCCGGACATAGCAGATCACATAGACAATGACCATGGCAAACCAGCCAAACATGGTGATGAACATGGCCACGTCCGTGGTCCTCTGGCGCACGCTGCAGAAGTTGACACCGGCATCCAGGACCTGGAGCAGCGGCTTGCCCACGTACTCCTCTCGTGGGGCCGTGTGGCAGGTGATGTCCTGGACGGAGTCAGGGTCCAGCCGTGCTTCCCACAGCACCTCCTGCAAGGCACACTCACAGTGCCAGGGGTTGTTGGCCAGCCGGAGCTTGGCATTGAGAGCCAGCAAGGCCTCCTTGGGGATGCTGCGGATGCGGTTGCTGGAGAGGTCGAGCGTACGCAGCCCAGCAGCCACCCCTTTGAAAGCTGCCCTGTCGATCTTCTCAATGGCATTCCTGGAGAGATCGAGTTCCTCCAGGTGGGAGAGATGCCTGAAGGCATTGCTGGGGATCCTGGTGATGCTGTTGGCGTCCAGCTTGAGGAACACTGCGTCTTTGGGGATGTCCTTCGGGATCTCCTCCAAGTGCCGGGAGCTGCAGAGGACGGCCTTCGCCCCTGCCCGCTCTGTGCATTGGCAGCTTGGGGGGCAGGAGCTGCCCCAAGAGACACACAGCAGCAGGTAAAAGAAAGCCTGGGCCACGCTGGCTGCTGGTGTAGTCGTGAGGGTCATCTTGCATCCAGCCAGCTCGGCATGGCTGCTGGCGATTCCCCGGCGGCTGCAACAGCTCCTGGGCAGCAAGGCGGCTCCTCTGTGCTCCTGCAAAGCCTCTCCCATTGCTGGAGGGAAGCAGAGGGTGGAGGGGATATGACACGGCATTATTTCCTGGAATGCCACTTACGTCTCACGTGTAATGTGCCCTGGCAAAGCAGTGAGAGGCTGGGCTCAGGAGCCCAGAAAACAAGGGTGGAATGATACCCTCTAACATCTTTTCCAGGATATCTTAATTTGGCTTAAGACATAGAGCTGCACAGATTAAAAAACCCTCCCCTCTTGCCCCATTTCAGCAGAGGCCACCCGGGCAGGCAGTGGGTGCTGCAGGATGTGGGTGTTGAGGTGGGCATGGCCTAGGTACCTGTGCCCCAGCCTGCTGTCAGTTTCTATGTGGGATGCAGTGATTTTGCTGCTGGAGAACAGCAGCAGTAAATTCCTACCTCTCCAACCCCGAATGTTAAAAAAAAGGAGATGAGTCAGATTCCCTGTGTTATCAGACCGGCTTAATCACCACCAAGGTTTAAATAACAAGATGTAGAGTTCTTCTGCTTTCCCCATCTGGTCTATGAGCTGGTTCAAGCCACATTTCCAAGGGTTTTGCTGAAGCAGGGGGTTGGAGGTGGTTTTGGTTTTTAAAGTAAACAAAGAGTATGGTTTAACAGCCTTATTTAGGAAGCTGGAGCTTAAGAGAAGAGCCACTGACTATCACAATAAGGGGGGTGATCTGGGAGCCCCATGGCCACCATAGGCCTGCTGGGAATGAGACAGGGAGGTGAAGCACATGGGCTTCCTTTCCTCTGCCCTTATGTGCTACTTGCACCTCTCCTGCTGCTTTGGCCAGGCTGGGGGGAAGAGAGCCCCACGGAGGGCAAAGTTGGGGGAGGGGAGGGGATGGTACCCTGGCCAGTTCAGGGAGCCTTTCACCCTGGAATGAAATTGTCCATTGTGATTTCATCAGGAAACTAGCTGGGCACCAAGTTATTATACCCCTATCCCCCTAGTACCAGCATCCTTCTTATATAGGCATCCCCCTGGTAACAGCATCCTCCTAATTAACGGCATTCTCCTGCTAAGAGCATGTTTCAAGCACCAGTATCCCTCAGGTGTGAGCACCCTCAGGGTACCACTCAGGGGATGCTCATACCTGAGGACGCTGATGGTGAACCTGCCTGTGTACCTGCCCAGGGGTGTGGGACTGTGCAATGGAGTCTTCCAGGGGAGATTAAGTCACACTGCCTGAGAATCCCTCTGGCCCTGCAAACGATACCGGGGTCTCTTGGAGGGGGAAGCAGGGATGCACTTTGCCATCCTGGCTCCCAGCGGCTGCCAGAGCCTGCCCCCGTCCCTGGAAGGGCTCCGAGGGACCGCAGCCGCCCAGCCCGACCCCAGCCTGTGCAGGGCGATGCCCAACCGGGGGCTCGCAGCCGGACCTTCCCGAGCGAGGGGCTTGTGAAGCCGGGGCCCCGCCGCGCTCCGCACAGCAGAACCGAGCCCGCCGCCCCTCCGCTCCGCCCCGGCTGTCCCGGGGTCACTTACCGGCTCGGCCGGGGCAGCTCCGCTCCGCTGCGGCTGCGGCTGCGGTGCACGGCGGCTCGGCCGCGGCCCCGGCTGCGGGCCAAGCACCGGCCCCACCTGTTGCTGCGGCTGCTCCCGCCGGGGCCGCGGGACGGGAGGGGGCCGACGCGGTGGCACCGAGCGGCGCAGGGGCGGCGCGGGGGGAGGACCTGGGCGGCGCGGGGAAACGGGAGGAGCGGGAGGGGGCGGAGGGGCGGTGGGGTCACCGGCAGCACTGCCGCGGGTGCTCTGCGCGAGTGGCCGCACGGAGCCCTTTGGTGCCGCGATTGAGTGGTGCTCGTTAGGTTTCAGCGGCGCTCAGGCTGTGGCTGCTGCTCCGGTTCTGGGCTGCAGGGCTGGAAGCTTTATCAGCTGCTGTAAGGCGCGATTGCCTCTTCCCTCCCCAGCCGGTCCCCTGGTCCTCGGCACAGCATGGTGAGGGGCCACCATGAGCAGACATTGAGCAGGCCAAGAGCAATGGGAGGAGGTACAGTGCCGCTGCTTTGGCACACAGCTGGCTTTCCAGCAGCTCCTCAAGTTGACTCAAAATGTGTCATATCATCTCTGCAGCGAGTATTTGGGGTATGATTCTGCAAGCAAAGTGAGTCTGTGCAACAAGAGCACTCAAACTAGGCTCATTTTGGAAGTGTGCTCCAAATGCAGCCTCCAGGAATGCTCCCTGATCAAACACCATAACAGACCACCAGCCTTTAGTTGTTTAATACATGGTTTATTGAGCTGGGTTGAATAAATTGCCAGTCTGACACCCACCCTTCCCTCGACAAGCCCCAGTGCATCACTGGTGAAACTGCAGTTGTGCTGTGGTGGCCACCACTGCGGGAAGGGTAGCCCTGGCTGGCCAGCGTCTAATCCACTGGGAGAGGGTGGGGGAACTGCAGTCCCACCCCAAGCAGTCTCAGGTATAATATGCGACCATGGGGCTGTTCTGGACTGTTGAGAGATGTCTCCACTGTGCCTTGTTCTCCCATGGCAGGCACAAAATAAGTGAGTGAGAGCAGAGATGTCTGGGATGGACAAAATGATGTCCTCTTTCCTATTTTTACCTGCCCAAGGGACCGCAAAGTATGGATCACCTGGGTCCCAGCAAGCTGTCCCTTTCCATCCAGGTGCCCAAGGGGATGGGGCAGGCAGGTGACATTTAGCTGGTGCCTTGGCTCAGACAGCAGGAAGTTCAGCTACAACATGGTGCTCAGCATACACATGCAGGATCACGTAACAGTATGGGACATGGGGACTGGACCTGTGTGGAGCTGTGAAACCATGGGTACATAAGCCAAGAGCATCTCACACCTTCACAAGTGCTGGATCACAGATCACGACCATGTTGTTATGTCTGAGCAACCAGAGATATGGGGACAGCTGCC